TTGCCATTGAAAGAGTTCCTTCAAAGTAACCCATTTAAGTAATACAAATTTCCATTTAAATTTCAGCTGAGTCTAAAGTTACCTAAGAATTGATAGAACCTAGAATTACCTGGCTAATTCACCAGTTACATTTATTACATGGGATATTTCTTTTTTAAAAAAATAAGCAGACCTATACACCAAGAGTAAATTGTATATAATAATTGCTTTTACAGACATAGCTTTCTTCATAAATTAACTTAATATATCTAAGAAACAAGCCTTTTGAAAGTTACTGATTTTTGTTCTTTTCACTGAAAGTGTCCAATAGTTGCCTCTGGTTAATAAAAACATAAAGCTCAAAGACTAGAAGCATATTTATTTCCTTGACATTTATAAAAAAACATGAAGAACAAATTTTAAATATATATCAAAGTTTAATAGATATTTTATGTGTATTTGTATGTCTGCTGAGATAATCAAAATTATAAAACTGATAGTGCATTTTTATTTCCAGCATTAAAAGGTTTCTAATGGATGTTGACTACCTGAACTTTCATTTTAGACAAATTTTCTTAGGCCACTGAAGGATTCCAAATGCTGTATAAAAAGTAAACATTCAATATTTTCAATGGATCACATTTTCTTCAACAGTTTCTAAATGTATCCAAAGCAAAAACTTTAAGTGAAGATTCCATTTGACAAGGGCCCCACATATAAGATTCAATTTTTAAATATATCAGTTTTTTTAAAAAAATATTAAACTTCTAAAAATTCAGATGAATCAGGCTGCAATGCTAAAATAAAAACCTCCACCAATTTCTACTCCCTGACCCATCAAAATAAAATCAAAACAATAAGAATCTAGGAAAAGAGATTCATTACAGATTATCACATAGAGTTAATAGTTCCCTATTGTTGATACTATACCCTGCGCTGATAGATAACTTCTCCCAATGGCTTCATGAAGATATGAAAAAGAAGAAGAAAGAGACTGGAGTCCTGAGGCACCCTGCAAAGCAGAGGTCTCAGACCAGATCACTCTCCCCCAACACCAACTGGAACAATGGAGAACAGTGAACAAGTCCCCAATTCTTGATAGGCTAAACCAGAAGGATATCGCAGTCAACAATATTAAAGGCCACAGAACTATAGAAGAATGGTCACTTAAAGTCTCAAATTTAGCAGAAATGGCCAAGATTTCCGCATATGTGAAGGACTATTCACAAGAAAGATATATTTCGGTTTGGAGAAGATGGATAGATTATATTGAGAGTAAATATGGGACTACAAAGTTTCATTTGGTTTTTGAGTGAATCTTAGAGTATTAATGTAGTTTATATGTTATAATAGTTTAGTTATTTTTATTTCTAATTACTAATATGATGTTATAATTATTGTGTTTAATACTAGTATATTTGTTTAAAAGAGAGTTAAAGGATGTTATAGATTTGTTATCTTAATAGTTGATTAATGTTAGATAGAGTATGATTATTGTATTGTTAACCCTGTGATTGGCTCTGGGAAGTGGGGGGGAGGGAGGGGGAGGGGAAGGGCGGGTTTTGGGGAGGGGGGAAATTATATTGTAAAACTTTTAAAAAATTTCCAATAAATATATATATATATATATATTAAAGGCCACAGAGTGATGAAGGAATGTTAGGGTGGATGCACCACCCCATCCCAACCCCACTAGAGGTCATCAGGATGTGACCAAAGCTGTCTCAATACTATCCTTTGGTCTGAAACCCGATTGGACAGGTTCAGATAATCTGCTTCCTTCAGGACGTGGAGGCCAATCACCTTCTCTATAACCTTCCTCTATAGGGGCGGGGACTGGATGAAAATTGCCCTAATCTAAGGGATTCAATATGGTTTCTTGAGGAAGGAATGGAGCACTGCTTCTTTTAGAAACAACCCCTCTTTTAGATATATTTCCTCTAGCCTGGAGAAGCATCTTTATCCGAGAAATTACAGCAGTCTTTCTGGATTGCATTGCCATCTTGGCCTGGACTTTCCAGAGAGTTCAGTGTTGCTTTCCACTTGTAACTTCTTTTCCCACTGTTTTTTTCCCCCAAAGGTTTTACTTTTCCGCAAAAGGTTTGTTATACAGGACTGCAGAATCATTGAGTAACGCCCTTCTCTGAAGGCACTGAATGTTTCCTTTTTCTTCATATTCCCCATTTCTTTTCCTCGTAAACATTCCCCAAAAGATAGAGGGAGAATCATAATGATTCCACATATATAGTTACTTTATCCATTCATGCACACATATTCATCTGCTCGTTCAACCTTCTCACCTCCCCCACTCCCTGCCCCCAATTTCATTCTCTTTTCCTTTGGCTTTCAGTCACCATTTATTTTTCTTCCTGTCAGAAGAGTCTTGCCACCTCTTGCAATAGTGAGAGTCAGTTTTGTCTAATGATTAAAGCACCAGGTAAGAAAGGAGGAGATGGTGAGTTCAAGTACTGCCTTAACCATGAAAGGCAGCTGGGTTGACTTTGGGCCAGTTACTCTCTCTCAGCCCAACCCCACGTCACAGGGTTAGGCTGTGGGCAAAAATAGAAGAGAAAGGAGTATGCTTGCTGCCTTGAATTATTCATTTAAAAAATAATAATAAAGGTGGGATAAACATAAATAAAATGTTTGTGGGATATTTTTTTCTAACTTAAAGACTCTTAAATTACGTAGTTATTAGAGTAGGAATTTATTATCTACTTTTAAGTTTCAAAGTAACTTAAATTTGCGCAAGGCATTTTGCTCGGGCCAGGCTGCTCTAGAACAGGCAATGCAAGGTTTAAAAAGTAAGGGAGCAGGCTAGTCACATCTAAATCAACCCCCCCCCCAAAAAAAACACTCCACCCCTCCCCCAAACTGATACTTTAACTTGGATAACTTGCATATTTTGGATGATGCAAATGCAGAAATGGCTGCTGTATCTTGAACAGAAATGCCATTGTATCATAGTGAGAAAGACAATGATCCACTGAATATTTTCCTTGCTCATTTTTCATCTCATGACTGGTGACCAACAACTGTAGGGCCCTTGCTCTTCTCCTTTTGTGTGGTTCTTATCAACGAATCAAACATGAACTACCCAGAATTTGAAATACAGGACCTCTTCGGGTAGAAGACTGCCCTGTGGGAGATAGGGTAGATTAAGTAGAATATTGATCTGCTTGCCCTTCTCTGCTGGGGGACAACTTCTCGTCATCATACTTGTTTTTAACTTCCAAGAAAGTCCACTAAGAAAGAAAAGTGTGTTATGCTACTAGGTGAGATTTATTATATCAGTGATGGCGAACCTTTTAGAGACCAAGTGCCCAAACTGCAAACCAAAANATGCGAGGCCAGGAGGAATGGGACGGGAGGGAGGGAAACCAGCCATGCTGGGATGCATCCGGCCACATGGGACCTCAGCGAGTTAGCGGGTGGCTGGTTGAAGAGGGACGGTTGCCATCTCCGGGGCATGGCGCGCGTGCCCACAGAGAGGGCTCTGAGTGCCACCTCTGGCACGCGTGCCATAGGTTCGCCACCACTGTATTATATGCTACTCTGGTTCACTGACAGAATTTTACGAGAAAATAAAAAAAATTCTTGTAATCCTCCCATTTCCCCCTGCTTTTGTCTTTTATTCTGTATTTCACAACTATTCTAAAGGATAAAGTGGAATAGCTTCAAAAAACAAAACAAAACCTCCTTTGCTTAACGGCACTCGGAACCCTGATGCTTGTATTTCACATTTTCCTTGCTTGAACTGAAATTGTATGAGTCTAACCAGAGTGTCAGGAATGCTAGTAAGAGAAACAGACTGAAGCTGATATAAGATCTCACAATGCAAAAAGGAACTTTTCACAAAGGAGGTACAGATATTCAACTTTTATCCTTTCCTTGTGAAATCTAATGAAATTCTTTCTGATAAGCCATGCTGTGCTTTTGCCCACTAATTTCAGAGGGAGCCGCAAGCCTGATTATCTGTTCCACCTGAAGTTCTTATCTTCTAGGAACCATGATTACATTCCTCTGCCTTTAGAAAACTAATGATGTGCATAAAGATCCAATGTAATGTGTATACTGTGTTAGATATAATTCCTTTTCTGTAACAGTGTTAGAAACTGTGATTAGGATGTGGTAGGTTACTATCCTGGCCAATAAGTCAGTTATTAGCTACTTTATTATCCTAGTATCAGGAGCCATGGTGGCACAGTGGTTAGAATGCAGAATTGCAGGCTAATTTCTGCCCACTGTCAGGAGTTCGATTCTGACCGGCTCAAAGTTGTCTCAGCCTTCCAACCTTCCGAAGTGAGTAAAATGAGGACCCAGATTGTTGGGGGGGAGGGGGCAATATGCTGACTTTGTAAACAGCTTAGAGAGGGTTGTAAAGCGCTATGCAGCAGTATATAAGTCTAAGTGCTATTGCTATGTACTATTTATCTTGGCCCCAAATTACACTGATTATTGCTGCTGTATTCCTACTAGCACCACCACCACGAGTAATCAGTTAGCGCAGTGATGGCGAACCTTTTAGAGACCAAGTGCCCAAACTGCAAACCAAAACCCACTTATTTATCGCTGGGTGCCAGGTGGGCGTGGCCCACTGGGTGGGCGTGGCTGTGGTGGTCATGGCAGACTTGGTGGGTATGGCCAAGGTGGGCATGATCACCTTGATATTGCTCGTGGGGAGGGATGCCTGTGGGGGCCGGGCANATGCGAGGCCAGGAGGAATGGGACGGGAGGGAGGGAAACCAGCCATGCTGGGATGCATCCGGCCACATGGGACCTCAGCGAGTTAGCGGGTGGCTGGTTGAAGAGGGACGGTTGCCATCTCCGGGGCATGGCGCGCGTGCCCACAGAGAGGGCTCTGAGTGCCACCTCTGGCACGCGTGCCATAGGTTCGCCACCACTGAGTTAGCACTTGTACACATTGAATTAAAAAAAATTACTTCTGGAGAAAAAAATACGATTTTTTTTAAAAAATGCATCAAGCAAATCATCATTAGAAACATTACAAATGTTGATACCTGGTATTGTCTGTGCCACCGGCTCAGTGACCGTGCAGGACGCGGTGCTTGGCTGCTGCTGGCTAGAGCTAACCTCCGGCTCTGTGCTAACAGAAGGAGACAATGCTACATCATTGGAAACTTGATTTGGTCCCGGCTGGAGGAGATCTTCTGAGGCTGACAGTTCTTCTTGCCCAGGCAGCTGCAAGGCTGATAAAGGAATGCTGATAGGTTTGCCAGAATTAGAAGTGCTGGCAGGCACCTGGAGGGCCACCTGAGGATTTACTGTGGGGATGTTACCAGACCTTCTGCTTGAGGAAGGCAGATTGAGTTTGGGAGGCTTCTGGGTCACTGGCCTTGAGGTAACTTGTGAAGAGGCTGAAACATTCTGTAAATCAAAGTCAGCACTGAGGGAAGGAGATGCATGAGACGTTAGCTTAGATGCCACAGGATAGGAGGCTCCACCTTTAGGTTTTGACATGTGTGTCAAGGACAATGCAGGGCCGTCAATGCCACCAGTGATTTCTGCATTAGCCACGATATAATAATCCTCGGGGAGTTCTTGCTTTATTTTTTTGGCTAAAACATCACTGCTGCTTCCATCAATGACCTGAGACTGAGAGTCCAAATGTAGTGAAGAAGAAGATGGTCCAGGCCTTTTAAGGGAATTGATCTGAGATCTTTGACGATGAGGTTCAAAATCGCTATCTTCATCGGTCACCGAGGACTCACAGACCATGTCAAAAAGATTAGATTCATCTTCGTATTCCTCCACTGTTTCGTCTAATTCAGAAGGCTCACTGCAGTAGGAGAAATCGCAGGAATCTCTGGTTCTGTTACAGTCCAACTTTGCTTTTCCTGACCTCCCGGGATAGCGTTCCACTGGGCTGGCTTGGGGGTCTGGAGGCATGCCTATTATGCTGGGACTATCAGAGTTGAAACTTCGGTTGTCCTGAAAACAAACTCTTTCCTGTGAGCCAGCCCTACAAGTAGCTGCCAATGGCCAGTGATAGGCATGGCCTGCACTACAGCCCCACATAGCTGTCAGGTTGCCATGGGAACCCTCTGAAAGTAGGTGTTTTAAATTTGGAATGAGGCTGCAAATGGTACCATGACTGTGGGCCCAACTGACCAGCTTGGAAAGGTTTTCAGAAGATGTATGGAGGCAGTCTTCCATGGTGCATCACTCAATGACTTTGTTCTTTGAAAGAAAAGAAAAAGAAGTGCATTAGAACCAAAGTTGGTCCTTGAACTAGAATACATATTCCACAAAACACAGATAGTTCTTGACTTACAACAGTTCATTTAGTGTCCATTCAAAGTTACAATGGAACCGAAAAGCGATTTATGACCGTTTTTCACGCTTACGATCATTGCAGCATCCCCATGGTCACGTGATCAAAATTCAGATGCTTGGCAACTGGTTCATATTTATGACGGTTGCAGTGTTCTGGGGTCATGTGATCACCTTTTGTAACCTTCTGACAAGCAAAGCCAGATTCACTAGACAACTATGTTACTAAATTAACAACTCTAGTGATTTCGGTTAACAACTGTGGCAAGAAAGGTCGTAAAATGGGGCAAAACTCACTTAACAAATGTTTCACTTAGCAACAGAAATGTTGGGTTCAGTTGTGGTCGTAAGTGAAGGACTACCTGTATGAATAATTTAATCAATGGAAGATATCTCCCTACATTCCCTGCATACCACTAGCAAAGGCAAAATAATAAATAAATGACCAATCATTTCAACCTAGTTCGCAGAGGTTATAAAAGATCAGTTTTAGAGTATAAACATTTTGAAGTAACAAATATATAACTTTCTTAATTTTTGTCACATAAGAATGCTATAATTAGTTCTTTTTTTGGGAGGGGAACTATTGTTATGTCTAGGAACTTAGCTTCTTTTTGTTTATGCATGATTGAAAAGAACAGAATGAATGAAGAATCAAAATAATAATCCCTTATATGGAGGGAAAATGTAGAAAGAGCACTCTAATATCTGCCAAATTACTCAATTTTCATGCCATAACTGAGATGGAGATTTAATCGATGGGGATAAGATGTTCTTTGTAGCTCACCTCAATTCTTGGGGACTCTGCCTTAGGAAAGTAAGACAGAACTTTCTCTGATAATTTTAAGAATTTCCTAGGACTTATCTGCACTGCAACTGACTAGCAACTTTTTCTGGAGGAAAGAAATGACCATCACATGAAATCACATACTCAGTGACTTCAGGAAATGTTTCTCTGCTCCATCTTCATGTTTCTATTTTATGACTCCTCTCCTCAAGCGTTCCTATCTGTTTCCGATAGCCTGTTTTAGTACCTTGAAAGCTAAGCCCAGGCAGATCACTGGAAACTTTAAAGAAATCAAAATGCCCTTTTAACTGAAGTCAATGTTTACTGTTTCAGAGCTATTCTCATTCCAGATGTTGTAACAGCAAAAAAGTTATACCTCTTGCC